GTAGAATACACTTATCAATCTATTTATTGATCTTCTCCTTTGAACAAACAAATTATCAATGATATACAAGTTTTGAATATTGTATGGATGAAACTATGTAGATGCAAGGTGAAATTTTATGCAAGAGTTTCTTCCAAAATAAAATTCAGGTTTTTAGAACACTTGTGAAAATTTTGAAAGATGAAGAGAATTTAAATGCTTTAAGAATTTGTAAAGGAGGTGAGTTTAAATATGAAAATAATGGTGTTTATATAGACACAATGCACATATACAAATGAGTGCAATAAATGAAAGGTTTCCATGCTTCAAGATCCACATTTGAAAATCATTTGACTGAAAAAACGCAGTATTTTTAGACACTGCTTAAGTGTTAATCGATTAACATATTTACACTGCAAATTGGTTAATCGATTAACCCTTCAGCAACAGATAAAAAATTCAAAAATTACAAAGGTTAATCGATTAACAACTTTACATTATAGCTTACTTAATCGATTAACAAGTGTCCAAAACTGGAAAATACTTTAGAAAATGAGATGCAATGCAAGGATTTTCTTGTAACAATACTTTAATGAATTATGACAAGTATGAATGATTTGAACACTTGTATATACAAAGACAAGTTGAGTTCATATACCTTCTCATTCATGATCAATCACCTAAATCTTCAAGACTTTTGATTCAACTTGAAACATGAATTGTGCTACTAGTCTTGAGCCATTTCCTTTTTGAGAGCTTTACTTGGTTGTTGAATGTTGTTGTCTTCATAAAAACATATTGAGTAGCTTGACTCTACAAACCACATTTCTTGGTAGCACTTTTTGTTTCACTATCTCCTTCTTTGTATTTTCCACCTCTATCATAATCAAATATAACTTTGTCATTTCTTCCACTCTTACCAGTTTTGGTGTCCGAACGGATTATTATAACAATAACTCTATTCCCGATTCCAACCTCCCTAATCCACATAGTCGCCTCTTCTCGTGTGGCAAATTTTTTTGTAGTCGAGAATATCTCAGTCGTGTCTATACATGTCTGGTTTTTATCGCATATCATGAAAGGGATGCCCATGTCTCCTAACATAAATGTGACAAAAATTAATATAAAAAAATGTGTTCAAGAACTCTTGGGGACAAGAAATTCGGTTATTAAAAAAACAAAACTGGAACTCTTATATACATGTTATCCGGAACGTAGAAAAACACAAACTGGAAAACGTATGTCAGTGTTATCCGGAAAGTATTCTGTGAACCGGATAACTCACATGCAATTTATCCAGTTTGTTAATCCAACAATCGAATTTCTTGGGTTTATGTTTTCCGGTTTGATTATAATACACACCAGATTTCTTTATCTTATGTTATGCAGTTAGTGTCGTATAATTCTAAAACAGTACTTTTTGACTCATTTGTCAGCGCAGTAAGAAGTAAAAAAAAAATGAAAAAGGCAAATTTAAAATATTTAAAAAATTGTAAGGGTATGAGGATAAGTGTGGGGGAATGGGGTAAAATTTACTCAATTGGTAAGGAAAATTTTGAGAAATTTTATCCAACACCTGTTCAATTTCATCTACACCCTCCATATTTTCATAATATCAATAATAATTTTGTTTAAGAAAAATCGTGCAAAAAATTCAGTAGAAAAACAAAAAATGTGGTAGACATGTGAAAATTTTGGCAGTCAAATAAAAAAACTCGGTATGTATTTTTACCGAATTTAAAAAAAAATCGATTTGTGTCAAATTTTATCAATGTATTTCAAAAGCACTAGAGATAACTAATTTTTTTTCATAAAAATGAAAAACTTAGTAGTGTTATTTTACCGATTAAAAAAAATTCCTATGATTATCGGTTTTTTTTGAAAAAAACTCCTTAGCTTATCGTTTTATTAAAAACCTCCTATGATTACCAATTTTTTGTGTAATGCTGAAAAATCATGTAGTGTTAATTTTCAACAATTGGAATTTTGTAGACATTTTTGTAGGGTTGTGATTGCACCGACAATCTGTATGGTCCATATTGATTCCAAAGTTGTATAAATATGTATGATATGTTATTAAAAAGCATCTCATAATGTCTCAATATTGACATCTCACATTTGTATACTTCAACGACGTGAAACCTACAGTTAATTTTATGCTCAAAAAGGACACCTATCTTGCTATTTTAAACTTCAAACTAGATAATCTTATACACCATATCGACAACAGAAAGATGGTTAATGTCGAGTATCGTTCACCATCAATCGATAATGAAGGGAATATTAGGTTCAATAACTTTTAGTTGAAGACAAATGAAGATTTAAAAATCATGTGAAGCAAATATCATTGATACGAAACAAAGGGTCTGATTGGCGTAGATGTGACAGTTTCCAGTTCTGTCGACAATATTATCAAGATGCTGAAACTTCATGAATCATCTAGTACTATTTAAGTTTTGTTATTGTTATTTTCTTATTATGTTATGTTAAGCAATGTCTGTGTTAAGTTATGTTAATCCGCAATAATGAAATGCTAATTTACATCTAATGATATGTTAAACTAAAGTGTCAATGTCTACGACAGTAAATAATAAAAAAAAAAACTAATAAAATCTAGACAGGTCCACCATGATGCCAAAACATACACACATCACCATCTATATTTGCCAAGCCCATGAGATTATCTAAAAGAAGTGTTATCATTTGTAGTCGTTGTCGGCCAATCATACCAAGTGGAGGCAGTGACATATTATTTGAAGGTCATTCATCATGGAAAGATTCAGCATCATCAGTAAGATGAGCAGGTGGAATGATGCGAATGTGTGATATTGTAACGTACCACTAAAAGTAACAATCCTCACACTGTCCAAGGAGCTACACCTCCATTGCATTATCTTTGTTAGCAATCAGAATGCTCAAATTAACTCCTTATTTAAATTATTCGTATCCATATCCAAATTCAGTTATTAAAAATCGGTTAATTATTAGTATCATTTTAACTAAATCTATATTTTGAATGTGTTATTAATATAACTTTAACAAAATTCATAGTTTAGACATCTATATCTAAAATAAAAACCAAATTAGTTAACTTTTTTTTATAAAAGAAAAATGAAAAAAAAAACTTTTTTCCTTTTAATTTTTTTTATTATTTAAATAAGATTATTTTTCTGGAAAAAAATTAAAATTTTCAGCAAATAAAAAAAATGAAAAAATAAAAAAATAACATTTAAATTTTATTTTAAAAAATATTATTTTTTGAAAAAATGTTTTCTTTTAAAAAAATAATTTTTTCCAAAAATACAAAAATGTGATTTTTTTATTTTTGAAAATAATTTTTTTCCTAAAATAAAAAAAATATTTTTTAAATAAAAAATAATTAAAAAAAAATAAATCAAAACTAATTATAAAATTGATTATAGATATAACCGATTAATAATTGGTTTATAATCATTTTACAAAAATAAAATCTGATTATGGCAATTAGTTTTAATAATCAGTTATAACATATGGATTATTTATGATTATAGATTGATTATAAAAATTAATCATCCATGAGCATCACTAATAGAAATGGCACTATTGACAATGTTAGACATGAATCATCTGTCAATTTTCTCAGATGACATATCAGAGACTGGTCGAGAGATACCTTGAACATACCCAAACAGGCACAAACACCTCTAAGTAAATATTTTCCCATTAAAATCTCCCATCTCAGATAGCCAAAAAAATAAGGTAGCATCATCAAAGTCCTGATGCACTATATGCTTTACGTAAGGTGTCTAGATGACATTGTCTATGATGACTGCATCGATCCTCATCATGTACTCCTAAAGACCTCCTAGATGTGAATATCTGGCCTTACGTTAGGTGACCTGTGGAAAGTCACTAGTAGAAACACAAACACGTATGTCACACATGGATGAGAAGAGAAATGCTCGTATTCAACATGCATAAGAAGAAGAAATTACACATATAAAATATCTTTAATTAATAAGAACTAAATAAAACGAGGATGTCTCTTTATGCAATTGCTGAACAAACACAGATAATAGTGGAACTTCACGCATGGCCAGGGAACAATCCGCCAAAGTAAGCAAACCAACATCAACAATAGTTCTAAAAATCTCATAATATAAACTATAAATATGTTTATGTTTTAAAAGAATTAGTCAATATATTTAAGCATGTCTAGGGAAGAATAATATAAGAACGAGAAATGAGTCGAACCCGCCTCAGTTTGTTTCGAGTCAATAAGAATTGATTTAGTTTAAAATTTAATTCGAGTTCGACACAAACTTTATTAAAAATTTAAACTCAAATTTTAAATTCACGAGCAGTTCAACTTGTTACATTCAGCTTGATTATTTTGTAAACTTAAAATTTATTTTTGTAAAGTATAATTTCTTTATATGTATATAACATTTTAAATTAATTTTATATAACGGAAAATAATAAATAAAATTATAATTTAACTTTATTTCAAAATTTACAAAATACATTTAAAATTCTAATTAAAAACTACTTTAAAACTTAATCAACAAACTTAAATTTTTTTTTTATCAAATTCAACAATTTATTGTTGAATTAAATGTCAAATTATGTTTGAATTAGTTCGGGTTAAACATTATCTAGACATAAAACATATAGTTGAACACACTACTAATTTTTTTTAATATATATTAAATATTTTATTTATATGAAAATATAAGAATATTTTAAATACTACAAAACAAAGAAATATTTTCAATACTACCTAAAAAAAATATCTTCAACTATTAAAAAATAATATACAATTCAATTACTAAATTTAAAAAAATCACCATAAATCAACAATATCTTACCCATTTTATTTTTAAAATATTTTCACCAAATGATTGACATCTAATAATTTCATCAATTATAAAATAAGAACATACCCGAAATCACACCTAATACAGACCATATTTATCCCAAAACTAATCATTCACTTTCCATTTCATCAACCAAAAAAACAAAAACAATTTCCACACACACTTATGGCAAATTCAACTTCCGAATTTGCCACCCCTCTTCTACCACAAACCACCGAGAACCCCCAAGAAAACCCAATTCCACAAAATGGATCAATCTCGGGAGCAGTGTTCAACATCTCAACCACCATGGTCGGTGCCGGAATCATGTCGATTCCGGCGACCATGAAAGTCCTTGGCATAATTCCGGGGCTAATTGTGATCGTGTTAGTGGCAGTTATAACGGATTTAACGGTTGAGTTTATGCTGAGGTGTACAAGCTCCGGTAAAGCGGTTACATATGCGGGTATGGTGGGTGAGTCGTTTGGTTCGGTTGGTTCTCTTGCTGTTAAGATTTGTGTTATTACCACTAATCTTGGTGTTCTTATCGTCTATCTCATTATTCTTGGTACGTTTTTTCTTTATCTTTAGTTTCAATTAAATTTGCATAAAGTTCGTTATGATTTTTTAATTTGTTTACACTTTTTCATATAATTGATTCTAAAGTATAGACTAGAAGTAGATTTTTGTTTAAGTTTGCATTAATTTTAACTGGGTCGAAATTTCAATTTTTATACCATATTTGATATTAATAGTTTATCGCGGTGAAAAAAAGAAGAGTTTGAATTTACTAGCTTACCCCTCTTTGTCTAGTAAAAAAGAAAAATTACCATCACCATAAAAATATATATATATATATATATATATATATATATATATATATATATATATATATATATATATATATATATATATATATATATTAAGAATAAACTAATGTTGAATAGATGTGTAGGGATATCAAATAGATACGAGTTTGAAACCGCGATATGTACTTTATTCACATTTAAAAGATGAATTTTAGTATTTTTAAATGTAATTTCAATCAAATTAAATTCTATTTTTTGAGATTTAATATGATAATTTAGATAATTTTATTTTATATTACCTCATATGTTATATTTTAAAAATTATTTTTAAATTTTATTTTACAATGATTATCTTGAGTATATCGAACATTAATTTACATTAGTATAGTTAAATTTTTGAAAAATTTAACAAATTTATGATATATAAAAAAATAAAAATAAAATCATATTTGTTTAAGGAGACTAATCCTGGACACTTAAAATCTTTCTTAGTGATTTTTAATCTTATTTGTCACGAGGATGTTATTTTACGTAGTGGTAAGAATAAATTAGATAACATTAAAAATGATAATATTCGAGAGTGCGGTGATAATATCTATAATAAAAAGATATAGAAAATAAACTTGGGTAGATATGGAACATTGTTGCACTTGACTAAACTTCTTAGAAAAATTTCGAATTCATTGTCTTGCGACGGATAGTCTATTTTCTCTTCTGTTACTAGTTGTTACTCTAAAAAACATAAATTTGATTGATCCTAATGACTTTTCTGTTAATAGGAGATGTTCTATGTGGAAATGAGTATGAAGGTAGCATACATTTAGGTATTCTACAACAATGGTTTGGCGTCCACTGGTGGACATGTCGCACTTTTGCTCTTCTTATCGTCGCACTTGTCATAATGCTCCCTCTAGTTATGTTACGCCGTGTAGGTACTACTAAAATGTACAAGCATTTAATTGAAATACCCTTGCATTCATGTCGTCACTAAATCAGTTATCGTCATATTCAACGACAACTGATGTACTGATTGCATGAATTCGAGGTATCTAGATTTCAGAAGGCTCGATTCAAATTTAAGTCTTCCTATTATCTTAATTCAGCTAATGAAGAATTATTATTATGATTTTGTTCATGTTAACAGATTCACTCAAGTATAGTTCTGCGATATCGATCCTTTTAGCGTTGGTTTTTGTTGTAATATGCTCTTCGATGGCAGTTACTGCATTATCTTCCGGGAAATCTCAGTCGGTGAGAATATTTCCTGATTTCTCTCAAGTCACTGTCCTTGATCTTTTCACCACTGTCCCTATTTTTGTAACAGGCTTCGGATTCCATGTCAACGGTTAGTTTCATCAAAATTTAACATTAATGGTTAAATATATATTTTATGTCACCAATTTTATTCATCATTTTACATATGATTTATTATTGCAGTTCATCCCATCAGAGCAGAGCTTGTAAAACCGACAGACATGAATACCGCCGTGCGAATTTCATTGTTAATCTCTGTTGCCATTTACTTTGCTATTGGATTCTTCGGATACCTATTGTTCGGAGACTCCATCATGCCGGATGTGTTGGTAAACTTCGACCAGAACTCCGATTCGAGTTTTGGTCGATTGCTAGACAACATTATTCGGCTGAGCTACGCCCTCCATCTCGCACTTGTATTTCCCATCATGAACTATTCCTTGAGGGCCAATATAGATGAACTATTATTCTCAAAGAAAAATAAGCCTCCTTTGGCTTTGGACACTCCAAGATTTGTGTCACTCACTCTTGTTTTGTTAGCATTCATATATTTGGTGGCTGTGGCTATTCCAAATGTTTGGTACTTTTTTCAGTTCTTGGGATCTACTACCATTGTTTGCATCTCATTCATCTTCCCTGCTGCAATCATACTAAGGTATACCATAAATTTGTCACCTCTTTTTATCACATACTTTTTTCAATCGGTTGAACCGTAGTTGATTCGACTGAACCGGTTGAAGGGGTGTCAAAACAAACCGGGCCTGCTGGGTTTGCCTATTTTGCACCCACTTTTTTCGGGGCAGACCAAGCTTTTAGGTCTGCACCCTCTAAAATGTCCGCCTCACACCCTTTTTTTTTTTTGAGCACGGGCAATGATATTAACATAATTGTTTTTTTTCAATTTTAAGCTTTAAAAGTGCAATGTCTGCTGACCCGTCCCGCTCTGCCTTCATTTTTTTCGGGGCGGGTAAAGTTTTAGGCTTGCACTCTCGACTATGTCTGCCTCGTCTCATTTTTTTAGTAGGCTTTTGTAGAACGAGCTTAAATAGGTGGGATGCCCGATTGCCATCCCTTGACTTGACGCAGCTTAAATTTCTCTTACTATATGTTTGAGTCCTAACTACTCCTTCCAACTTTTTTTGGCACAGGGATATGCATGGTATATCAAAAACAAGAGATAAAGTCGTGGCAATACTGGTGATTATTTTGGCTGTTGGGACAAGTGGAATTGCTATATGGACCAATTTGAATGGTTAAAGTGCTGATTAACCATAATGTTATCACACCAATGAATCATTTTCAAGTTTGAGAGCATCATGATTCAGTTCTCACCAAAAGAGTGATTCTGCTTCTACTAAGATCTGAATAATACTTGTTGTGTATATGATGAAGACTCAAGTTATGCCAATAGTGTATCACTTTATTTTGTATCCTTAGATTATCCCCATGTCTACTTGCCAAAACCATGTGTTAAAATTCAGGAGGAATTTATGTTACCTTTTCTCCCAATTGTACCATCAAAGTAGGTTTGCTATTCATAAGGGAAATATTAGGCTCCATTTGCGTTGAAAACCATTTTTTTTTAATTTTATAAATTTAAATTCATTTTTAATAAGACGGTGTAAAAACAATTAAAGATAGAAATTAATCTAAAATATATCATAAAAAAATAATTTAAAAAGATTTTCAGATTAACAAGTTGAATAATAATATAAGATTAATGCTGACATATTGAATAGACTAAATTATTGGCTCTGACATTAGCTACGATGAGAGTAACATGCAACAATATTAATAAGTGATTGAAGTTGTATATTACTAGTCAAGGATGTTATATAATAACCAACAATCAATATTTTGATAAGTCAAGTTTAAAGTAATAGAATTATTAAACGATATTTGAAACACAACCAATCTCTATGAAGGTCTACGAAGACGATAAAATAACACTTGTTATCTGCACTACAACAATGATAATCTTGTAAGTCCACCCCGCTCATCCGTAACAAAGACTATTACCATTGTATCTGAATGACTTTCTTCCTTCATCCAATCAATATATCATTGTGCAGTCCTGTAAAGTCATAAGATCGTAGTTGAAATTGATTCTGTGAAAATCAGTGTGACCTAATTCACCGATCAAAATTGTCAACCAATAGATTTCTTGATCCAATGATTTTATCCTTTTTATTTTTATTTTTTTTGACTTAATTATAATTTTGATCTTCTATATTTTTTTAAATAGTTTTAATGTCATATTTGTGATCTTTCAAAACTACTACACTTGTAACTTTACTAAGTGCGTCATGAATTTTGGCAAAGATAGATATATATATATATATATATATATATATATATATATATATATATATATATATATATATATATATATATATATATATATATATATATATATATATATATATATATATATATATATATATATATATATATATATATATATATATATATATATATATATATATATATATATATATATATATATATATATATATATATATATATATATATATATATATATATATATATATATATATATATATATATATATATATATATAATTTCAATATTTCTATCTAATGCATTTCATTAAAATTATTTATTATTAAATATAAAATATAATAATATAATAAATTTAAAAAGTTAAAAATTTAATTATACAATATGATAATATTATAAATTAACAAAATTAAAAAAAAAAAAAAGCATCACGTTATCAAAGATGAAATTTATATTTTCACAGTATTTTAAGAATGAATCTCATTATTTGAAGAAAAAAAAAAGTTCCTAAACAAGGATGGAATAAAAGTTTCATACTATTTTCAGTATAAGTATTATTATTATTTTAAAGTAAAAGTCATATTATTTTTAATAATTTTTTTATTTATAGATTTTTATTTTTTAACACTATTTTTTATTTTTCATTTTCTTTTAGTTTTTACCACCAGTATCTGGTCTATTGGACCAATTAATTCGATTCGAGAGTGAGTTCTAATATTAAATGGTTCCAACCCTCTCTCGATCGCAGTTGTAGGGAATCAAACTGTTCTATAAATATTTTTAATTATTCATATAACATAATACTCTGGTATGTTCTATATTCATTTATGGTATTATTATATTATATAATTACTTTTCCATTTTTGTTAACTTATGAAATTGGAACTTTATTTAAGATTGTTATTCAACTTATTTGTATGAATAAATTCATCAAAATTTTTTTTGTAGACTTTATAGTTATGAAACTTATGTCAAAAAATTTATTTCATGAACTTTTTTAATTTGTATAAATCAAATTAGAAGTCACGCGATCTGTTCAATGACCTATTGGTCTAACCACTATCCCAATGACCAAATAGTTTGACTAAGTCGATGATCGGTCCAGGTTTTAAAACATTAGTTTCATGACTGGAACAGGGGCATGGTCTGTGAGAATAAAATTTGCAGGTTTTAAAAAATTATGATTCTTGCAAATTTCTACTGAAATTCACTGTCTCTTAACCCCTACGTCAAACCAATTGATCTTTCTTCCGTTGCAATCTTTGATCAATTATGTACAAATTATGGTAGTATCAAAGCCTGCTTAGTTTGTCGTTTAGCGTAACACTAACATTTCTACTAAAATGACGACTAATGCTCTTGATCCCACAAGAGAACACACACCTCCTACGGTAGGATGATCTGATCTGTTCTTCGTGACTTTTCCCAAGTTAAAACTCCTCAAGTTCCGGTTCCTCTATGTATAGGCCAAAGCACATTCCAGATCATGTCAATCTTCAAACCTTTCCAACAATTACTCCAAGACCAAACGACTGTAGGTCCCTAGACTAGAAATTCTTCAAAGCCTCCAGCAACTCCAAGAAAATCTAGGCATACATGGGGCGAATGAACTGCTCAGCAACATCTACAGCTTGGTGCAGTAATAAAATGCATATCTCTTAGCCAAAATACTCCTTTAAATGTGTTTCACCTCGATATTACTCGTTGCACGAAGTGGCACCACGATAATCGCATAGCCTCACCTTTAGCGATCCTCGTTAACACCGCCTCTCTAAATAGAGTTGTTGATAAATACCTTGATCATCACCTATAATAGACATGCCACTCTTATCCTTATGATTTCAAGGGTAAAGATGACTGCCATACCCCCCCCCCCCCCAAATGATGTCATCTTTGAAGATTTTCGTCATGCCACTCTCGAGGAAGGGACAAACTAGGTATCAAAATAAAAATTCTTGATCAAAGAAGAAACACACTCTCTACACTACTACAAAAGACACTTTTCGCAACAACCTCTTACCACAATTACATATCCAACTGAGATAATATATGTTCATTAGGCGTATTTTTTTTTTATAATTTTTAAATTACATTTAGCCACGATCACAATTAAAAATCGTTGTGATATGTTAAGAGTGACACACTTCGAAATCCAACACCTACCATTTTTGTGTTTTTTCATTAATTAAAAATTGTGTTCCCGTTATTTATAATTTTAAATAAAAACTAAACACTTGTCACCACGGTCCAAACTAACAACTGTGGTGAAATATAAGGATATATTATCACGGTTGGTTTTATCAACCGTTGTGAAATAAGCTAAATTTATTCACCTCAGAACAAATTGCGTTGTAAATGTGAGACCCTAACTTCTCATGCCTTTGTCTCAATCTCTCAAAAATCCATCTTAACTTCACAAAAATCTAACATAACTCTTGATCTGACCTGATCAGAAGGGGATCACGGGCTGGCCACACGCTGTTGGACTGCCACCTGTTCACCGGTGATGAGGAGGAGAAGGGGGGTGCACCTGCAAAACACTCTGATGCCAAAGTAAGGAGTTGGGCAGAGTGAGAGCAAAGTACAGAAAAATTGGTAAGGAGTGAGTTACCTGACCCTCTTGAGGAGGAGGGTATTTATAGAGAGACCCCAGCGCTGGGCCAACGGTCACTTGCGTTGGGTTGGACTGCCAGGCCCAACCCAGGTGACTGCTAGGGCTTACGTGGCGTAGTGAAGACCAGGACGTGGTCTTCGCCCTAGTCCAACTGCTCCTTGATCTCTGGAAAGTGGGTTTGACCTGTTCTTTCAGAGGTGGGCAGTTGGTTGATGACGTGTCCCCGCATAGGGGGGCACGTGGAGAACGTGCGCTGGGCACGTTGTCCTCCCCGCGGAGGGGAGCTCGCGAGGTTCCCTGGAGGGCGTTGTTCTCCCCGCGGAGGGGAGCACGCAAGGACGCGGGAGAGCCATGTGGTCTTGCTCGATGTACCGGGGATGCTCTGTTCGGCCGAAAAAGGGGGCGTTGAGGACGCTACGGGACGTCCCGTCCCGCTCGGCGGGGAGCATGCCCTGCCCGTCCTATGGGGGTGTGTGCCCGGTCAGGCTAGTCCACTTAACGGGCCTTGTGTGTTATTGGGCTGGACCGCGAGGCTGGGCCCAGACCAGAACAACTCTCAAACTAGTATCAATGAAGGGAAGGTGTCACAAAAAAAGCAAACTTATTTCTTTGCTTTTGTTTTCCACAAATCTTTTCAAGTAAAGGTACGTATGTAAGCCTTTTTTTTTCAAAACTCCATTCTTTAATTGTTGTAAGATAACATATGTATACCTTTTAAGTTACTTATGAGGTATGTTGGATAAGTTTGTTGTATTTATGTTAATATTAGTTTGTGATTTTGTAGATAAATGATGTTGTTTGTTAATAAACGATTTTATTTTGTTCATAAATTTATGATTTTGTTTACATATTTTTTGTTGAAGTATGTTAATGTTTTTGTTAAATATGTTGATAAATATTATTGTTGAGGTATGAGTAATAAATTTGTTGTGTTTATATTAAGGTTACTTTATGATTTTGAAGATAAATGTTGTTATTTGTGTTTTTTGTTGATAGTATATTTTGTTTTGTTCATATGTTTATGATTTTGTTCACAAGTTTATGATTTTGAAGATAAATGATGTTGTTTGTTCATAAATGATTTTGTTTTATTCATAAGCTTATGATTTAATTTACATATTTTTTGTTGAAGTATGTTGATGTTTTAGTTAGGTATGTTGATAAAAGTTGTTTTTATTGTATGATGTGTTTGTATATGTATGTTAATGTTTATGTTATTGTTTATTAAATTGATAATTCTATTACTTGGACATTATAGTTATCATGTTATTCATTCAACATGTCCTAAAAGATGAATTTATTATATCATATGTGGTTTGAGTGTTTTTCCAACCACTCATTA